CCATCGTTCCATCAAAGCTCGCGTCATCTCAACTGGGTGAAGTTCGTCAGTAAGTTTAGCCAACAAAACACAATCTACACAGACCTCTTCTCCCAACTTGAAGGTGTAGTGCAAGTTACCGCCAGAGAGTATCAGTGACCACGTGTGTCCACCAGTGACCACCAGAATCAGCTATTCCAAGCACGTTCCACGTTGTTTCCGAGCTGAACTCTCTCAACAACCAATGACGCTTTGGGGCTGCTGTATTGCAAGTCGGGAGTCCCCGACCACAACCAACTCCTGGTCCCCCGTGTCTAATGCGAGCTGCATGACCTTTACTAATCCAGAGTATTCGGCCTCGTTCACGTTAGCTTTCTCCAGAAAATGACCCACGGCCGCGACGATGTCCCATCTCGGGAGGCTCCAGAGGATGCACGCAGCGCCTTCCCCTCCCCCCCGACCCATCTCTCTTGGCGCCCGTTCGAAGCTCAACAGGTGCCCGATGTGATCACTAGAGCGCATTTCCAGACTGACGGATCCGGGAACCCTTTTCTGGAACCAGGGTCTCGGCGGCCTCATCGAGGCGTTCTCGGGGGTTGATACCCGCCCCCAGGATCGCTGTCAGACCAACTTCGTCGTTCTCGACTCGCCGAAGGTCAAGATCCCATGGGGACAGATTGACCGCCCACTTGAGGCACCTCCCGTCCACCGTCTTGGACTTGAACAGCCAGGGCAACACGGAGTACCGGGTGTACACTCGAATTTTCTTTCCGGAACAACTGGTAATCAGCGTATGACATGTGTTCAGACCCGGAGCAGCTCCAATACCTCCTTTTCGGCGGGATGGTACCGAAGTTCGGCGTCCTGGAGAACTCGTCCCACCAACCGCACGGGTAGTATGGTGCCGTCGCAATCCTGCCCCAAGAGGATGGCCCAAGGGTTGGCGTGCAATATTATTACATTCTGTCTCCCAGGGCCGGGGTGCTGGAGCAATGGCACCGACACTACCCGGTCCTTGAGTATGTTGAACGCGTACTTAGGCTCCTTCAACTCTCGTCCGGAACGGAGATGCTCGTCTGGTATTTCAGAGAGGGTGGCCACGAGCACGGGTAGGTATTCGATAAACTTGGTGCAGTAATTGAGGCTCCCGAGAAAGGCCTGTACTCCCTTCTAGGTCTTCGAGAACGGCAAGTTAAGGACCTTTCTCGCCTGTTTTGGGGACGTCTGGACTCCGTCCGAGCTAATGGCGTGCTCGAGGTACTTGCATATCTTGACTCCTAACTCACTCTTCGGGAGGCTTACCGAGATGTTTTAGTACCGCAGTCGGTATAGGAGGTCATTCAGCGTTTTACACAGGTCATCCCAGGACGGCGCTTCGTAGATGATGTCATCTATGTACGAACTCCGAGACAACACCGGGCCCATCAGCTCCAGGGCAGCCCAGTTCTGATGGAACAGGGTGTCAGTGCTGGTCCTGGAGACCACCGCCCCCTGGGGCTCCGTGCCCTGAGATACCGGGGCGCCTGAGCCTTCGAGAGAAATTCCCAAGAACTCAAGCATTTCTGTGTCAACAATCCTGTCCTCTTCTGGGGGTAGCCGGACAAAACCCCAAAGACAATTGTCCAGAAGCTGTTGGTAGATCAGTATGACGTTCTTTAACCCGAACGGCATGCCCTTCATCTGAAAGTGTCCGAGCGGGCAAATGAAGGCCAAAATCAGCTGAGCTCGGGCCGTCATTGGAACCGCCCAGAACCTACTTGCCATGTCTAGAGTCATGAACCACATAATGGCGGCAAAGTTGTCTTTGTGTTCGGCGATTAGGGGTAGGGGTAGTTCATCAGCTTTATCAGCTTGTTCACCAGCCGGTAGTCGATGTACAAGCAGACATCGGTACCATTCTTCTTCATCACGAGGACAATGGCTGATGCCCACTCCGAATCGGAGTACTCTATTAGACCAGTTTCCAGGAGACGCTTGAGCAACTCGTACATCTTGGACAGTAATCCGGCAGGAATCCTCCGGGATCGCATGGAAATGGGTTTTGCGTCCCCAACCTCCAGGTCGCACACGACGCCCTGGACCGGGGGGGAAGCGCGTTCTCGTCTCCCAAGAAAATCATTCGGTGTTTCTGGAGGATCGCCCGGAGCCTCTCTTCCTCTTCGGAGTCCGACTCTCCGGCTCACCGACAATCGCGTCTTCGATGTTGGCCTCGGGCCGGAGATCGCTGAGGTCGGGGAGATATGCCAGCTGATTCTTGAGCATGTTCAAGAGCACGACGTCTGGGCTGGTAATACTGGTGGAGGATCCGGAGTCGATCATGAGCAAGGTACGATGGTGGAATACGGAGTCATGGACGAAAGCCACTGACCAGGAGCTGTCGTCCCAAGAGTTCGCTTCCCACCAGCCTCGACGCTCCCCGGGTTGGAGTTCAAATGAGAGTTCATCTTTGTCCGGGGTGACGTGGCTGGGGGAGACGGAACCGGGCTCGGGAGAGGGTGTTGATACAGTTTACATACATTAAGGTTCGTTAAGACCTACATACGCATAGGCGCAGCAGGTCCGACGGGGCTTAGGCTCGGCGTGTACTTGGTCCCTACCCAGCGAGCCTAATTGGTTAACGCCGGAGTGGCCTCCGGGCGCAACCTCTGCAACACCTCTTCCGGAAATCCCTGGAGCTGTCCTCGCTGGGCCGCGTCCTTGAAAGCCTTGATGACTGCGCATTCCCCAGCTGGATGCAACTGGCAGCACGCTTCGCACTCCCGGTGTCGGCACTGACTGGTTGGGTGTTTACCCCCACACCGGTCACACTGCATCAGCTACCAACAACGCTCCCGAGTGTGTCCGAGTTAGTTGCACACGGGGCACGGAGCCGAGGGTCTCGGAACTCCAGAGTGCCCCGAGCCCCTGGAGTCGGGGCGGCCTTGGGGACGTCCGTTGCGGTCGTACCAATGCCTCGGGACCTCGGGGCGGAACACCTCCTCCTGATCGACCAGACCGTCGTAACCTTCGTCGTTTTCCTCGTCGTACTGGTACCCACAGCCAGAGTCACCTCCATCTTCCGTTCGACCCGGGCCAAGAAGGCACCGACAACGGCATGTCGGTACTCCCACGGCGTCGCTTCGGTTCGGGTCGACTCGCGTCGGACTCGGACCAGTCCCGCGGGCGCACGTGGGCCAACCTCAGTCGGGTCATCATCGCGGTCCCCAGTAACTCCTGTTCTTCACGCGTCAGCGTCAGGGCGTCGCCATCGTCTTCGACCGGGAACGCGGATGCTGTTTCCAGGTCCAGGGTCTGAAACGGAATAACGTCACGGTGTACGCTGTAGTGGCGTCCCCGGGCGATCTCGTTCCAAGCGATTTGCTCGATCGTCAGCAGTCCCCAAAGAAAACTGGCGTCGGATATGAACTGGCCATTCTGAGCTGCGAGCAGTTCTGGGCTCAGCGTGCGTCACCCCAGGTCGGGAAAAAGTTCAGGAACGCGTAGCCCTCGTCGTGCAACATGGTCTGCAGTACGGCGATTACGGACGTGAAGTTCCGAGTACCATCGGCGAAGCGCAGACCTTCCAAGCCGATCTGAAGTGCCAGGGGGTCGGCGACCACGGGCAGGAACAGGCAGTCACTCCGGAAGTTGGGGGTCCAAGGCCGCCCCCGGCTACTAGCCGACACGATTTCCCGAAGGTGCCGGATGATTTCCTTCTTCTCCAGGGACGAATTCCTCATCGGCCAATCGGCCAGTGATGCCGGTCTGGGTAGTATGGGTCCAGAGGCGGCACGACGTCAGGTTCCCGACTCATCCAGCGACGCACTTGAGCGGCCACGTACTGGCGCACATGGGCAGCGGAGTGCCGAGGCTGGGGAACCAACGTGGTCCCAGGAGCAGAGTCCTGGAGCGATTTCAGGGAAGCGTGGAGTCTCAGCGAAGGTGTCTGTGTCGCACTTGGCCCGGAGACCTGCGGGTTGTCAGGGTGGTTTCCCCAACTCCCGAGTGTGTGGTAGCTACGGATTGCTCCGCGCTGAGAGCGGTGAGCGGACTCACCTAGTTAGTGTCTGCGTTCCCGAGAGAGGCAGACAAGGCGGTGGATTCCACCGTGTGGGCAGTGTTTGGTCCACTAGCAGGGTGCTGGGCGCCCCCGACGGCCTTGTGCCCGCGTCTCCGAAGGGGGCAGGCGGGGCCGCAGGTCGCGGCGAGCTGACGGTCGCCAACTCGCGGCTCCTTACGGCGTCCGGCGCCGGTAGGTCCTCATCCAGTCTAGGTCTGGGATGGTCATCTGGCTCAACGGCGCTGGGAATCATCAGCGTCTCCGGGTCGTCGAACTCGGCAATCTCGCTGTCCGTTCTGGTGAGAGTCAAATGGCGCGATGTTGAAGTTTCAAGACGGGGCGTCCCCAAGTCCGGCTCGGCCACTCGCGGTGCCGCGAGAGGCGGGGCCCCCAAGTCCTCGGGGTTGTGGTGTATCTGTAGGTTCTTGAGACATAATCAGAGAAGTTGTGAGTGCTCAAAATTAGCCCGGCCGAGCTCGTGCACCACCTGTGACGTAGCGCTTGAAACTTTTGGTTCCGAGCTCGAACGCAAGCGGTAGTTATGACGCACTAATTGGATCAGAGTGGATTAGAGTAGGAATGTAGGAACAAAGGTCCTTATGAATAGACGGCTCCTCCCGAACGGGGGATTTATCTGAGGCAGTGAGCGCGGAGAAAGTTACTATGGAATAGTAAGCCTCCCGCACTTGGTCAATAAAAACCTCACCTTGGGTACCCCCTTCGAAACGGTTGTTTGGATCAGGGAAAAGTTAACCACTGAGGGCTTCCTGGAACGTCCCGACTTTATAGAGTACGCTAGATAGGTAGTTAAACAAACAATCGTCCGGGGACACTACCTGAGTCCGGGACGGGGTGAATACGCAACTTAAGTATACACTCTGTGTCTTTCGGAGAGAGACTCCACCGACGACAGCCGTCAACAATGGGCGAGACCCTTAGAATATGAAGTGCTTGCTCCGTTCCGGCTAGACCGCGCGCCGGGATGGGCAGATATGGAATGCCCGGTGTTTCCTTGGGAACACCCGGCAAATGTGATATAATCTTACCTGGGAAACAGTCTCCGAACACAGGTCCCCGAACCGTGTGCTCTTCATTTAGTCTTGTGGAGCTTGGGAT